TAAATGACCCATAAGATGTTGATATGCCGCTAAACAAACAAACGATATTTGCATACTAGAAAAATGGACTTACGGCTACATCACAGTAAAACACTAATTTCCGTGCGATCACCGAAGTTAAGCAACGTCGAGCCTGGTCACCTAGATGAGTGACTGTTTAGGAATACCAAGTGCTGTAAGGGCGGATCTTGTAATGGATAATGACTCGGAATTGTTCATCGGTGAGCGGAATTTAAATTCCCGTTGGGTTCGTTATATTCACTTAAGCGCACATACTCTTGGTAAAGGTATGAATCTACCTCTTCTCCTCCTCTCTCTGGGTTAATTAGTAAGACTTGTAATAGTAAACCATTATTATAAATGACCTGCAAAGTGTTGGTAAGCCATAGGAAACGAATCAATCAATCAATAAAATAGAAAAAATGATCAATAAAATTAATAGATAAAAATGGGCATTCTTTTTAACACACACACAGACACTCACACACATATGTGTGTGTGTATTTAGACAGCAAATTCTCTTTTAAGCATGTCTGATTAAATAAATTACAAACATTATGTCTACTTATTTTTAGCATAATCCGTTCATATTCACGAATATTTTTCCGTGTATTACAATCAAATGATGCAAGAAATGCACTGTAACAGTGAAAATTACTTTTATTTTCACTGTTACAGTGTATTTCTATCTACCTAGGTTTCACCTACCGGATCATTAGGCTCTTTAGGTATTTTAATTTTGCTCTACTTTGTGTATTGTGCACTTTTACGTATCAGCTTTGAGTGTGTGCATGCAAAGAAGTAGTTGATATGCAGATAAAATTTTCGAAGTTTTCAGTTATCTTGCGACATATATATTTCAGTGCGCTGTCAGTGTTTAAGCTTTATACTGTAGCTCATGCTGCAATAAGATTCACTTTGGTTAAACAGTCCAGTGCAAGCTGGTTTCATGTCACGGAAATGCATATCTGCTATTTTGTTCAACGGGAGTTTTTCTTTTTCAGAGGCTTCGCATGTGTGCCTTCGACGGGCTAGGACGTCATTTCGGAGAATTTCTGTATATGTTGGATTTAACGCACTGGCAACAGGAATCAAGCGAAAATTCGTACATCCACAGATTGGATTTTGGACGGTCACGTTCTACAGACGCTCGTCAAGATCGATACATTTGAAGTGAAGCAATGACAAACCGTACGACGCCCACAGCACAGACATGAACAAAAGTGACCCCAGGAGTATTAACAGGCACCATTGGTATTTTTCTTACTTTCAGCATAACAAGCATCCGTGCTTCTGGCCAAACGCCACATTACTTTCCAGTTTTGTTGCAATGGTGAGACCAGGTTCTGCCTTTATGCAAGTGAGGGTAAAGTCGAGATAGAGAGGGCATCTACCAGGTTATATTCGCATATAACACCGACGGAACCGTTTGCTTCTTTGAGGTGCTATAAGTTACAACTCTCGTTCATCTTTGGTGCTTGTAGAGAGAATGTTGAGTAGCGCTGTCTACGTCCGGAACTTTGATCAATCAGTTCTACTGTCATTTCTGCAACAAAAAGGCGATATAATTTTGCTGCAAGGCTGTGCCTGCCTACATGATATCCGTGCTCGTCAACATGCTCAGCAAGATTTTGGACAACTTCCCTGATTGGAACTATCAACAAACCTGTTCACAGTGAAAACCTATGGCGCATGATGGGATAGCGCCTGGCTCATTCAGTAAGCACCCCTACAACTTTATCTTTTGCATCAACAGGTTTAAGTGGCGTTCATTAATGTATCTCAGGATGGTATTCACTGTTTGTATGATTGTATGCATGTGCGAGAGTAGAAGCTTGTATTAAAGCCCAATGGAAATATCAGTCACGTAAGTGCCATACGTTGGGCAATCATACCTCTTTCGAGTCATGACTGACGAGGCAGAAGGTTGCCGTTTCTTTCTGCGATAAACGGGTGGCCAACTCAGTCTGTCCTGCTATTTAACCCATAGCTTTTTTTTAAATAATGCGTCAGGGAATCAATTGACCAAAATCGCTTGAAGATACCGAAAATTGAAACCAATGTAATGGAACCGGTTGATCTCGTAATTTTCTAAACTTAAAAGCTATACATGTTAAATTTTTATCTTTTTATAAGTGTATTGAGCACTTTTTAATACTACCAGTTCCTGGTCTGATTCAACTCTGAACATTAACCTTATATATATATATATATATATATATATATATATATATATATATATATATATATACTGTGGTCTTTATTTTCTGGCATAAAAAATGAACTTAGAACGATTACTTCGCTACTTAGAACAATTACTTTGCTATTTATATAAATTTAAAAACATTTTTAGATGACAATAAGTGACACAGGACTATAAAAAGGCACTGTTAATTATTTACAGTTGATTTATTTAAATAATGCACTGACTATTCTTTGCGTCACTTGGCAATAATTATAAGTAAAATGATGCCCTAAAATAAGGCACTAAATAATCGTT